GGCTAATTTTGGAGGCCGGGGCGAAAAAGCGTCACCTCGCTCCATTGTGGTGTCAGACCGACGCAGTACCGGTATTCATTGGAGTACTCACCGATGCGATACCAAATACCAATACCATAAAATTTCAACAAACGAAAAATGTTGCAAAGAAAAAAATAGTTACATTTATTGTTTCTTATCTGAAACAAATTCAGCGTTGAGTACTTGTACTGCTTGGAAAATTGTTGTGACGTTTTTTTGAGATGTTAACCTAAGCACTTTTTAAGGACCTGATGTTCTATTCTATTTTTATTTTGTAATTCTTTGGAGATTTACAAAAACAAACAAAATAGTGATATTCCCCCTCGTGGTCGAAACTAAAGGTTGCAGGTAGGATTTGGGACGAATCTCAAATAGCGCAGAAAGTAAATGGCTCGGACTGCATCTGTCCAAGTCTGCTGAAAAACATTCAAATACTTTATAATGCCACTTTTTCTTTTCTCTTTTGATCTGCCTCAATAATCTAACGACTTTAAAATGAAAATAGGGGTTTTCTCAGTAATTTTAAGATGAGATTAAAATATAGATTAATTAATTACAGACCCTAATTAATTAATCGCAAAAATGTAGTCACCTGACAGCACTATATATAACATCATATACGTTCGTGTAACGTATGGTGGCAAATCTGTGCATAATTGGCAGCCATTATAACTGCACTGAAAATCGGAATAAGAGGGCATTTAGCGCCAATGAGCATTTTCCACAAAAAAAACAGTTTGGTTTAGCGCCTCCAGAATAAATCTAAAAAAAAAAAAACAGTTTGGTTTAGCGCCTCCACAATAAATCAGTCTGAAAAGGAGCGTTAACTGTATTCATATTTGACAAAGAACACCAAACTCCTTGGATGGGCAACGTGGATGTTGAGGTCATTCGAACCCTTCACACAACTGCCACTTTACCCCCCCCCCCCCCACACAAGTGCTACAACAACAACAACAGCAAATGACGGCCTGTTTTTTTTTTTTCCTTTTCTTTGCCCGTTAAAGTTGATTTGAACACGAAGCGCTCATTTGATCCTTCATTCAAGTTTGCCGTCTCTCGGAGGCGCCTTGTGGCGCTCTTAAAAGCCAGAGTGGAAGAAAAAGAGAAGAAAGGCAGCAGGGGGAGGCTGAGGGGAGGAAGAAAAGCGGCGGCGCGCAGCCTTGACTCGGCCAGCGTCTCGGAGTGAAGAATTCACGTCTGCCGAGAAGCAATCAGCCGCCGCGTGAGCGCCATCCGAGAACATCCATCTTTGATTGCCGACTTCATGCGAGGCCGCTGTAAAGCGCTTCTTTGCGAAGCGCGCCGCCATTCTTATTTTACGTTTATGTACCGCATAGGGTCAAACGATATCCACTCGCGCACACAATGCGAGCCACAAGTCGTAATTGGAGCGTAAAGGCCAAGCTGAGCGTGGGGCTAGCGCGCGCGTCCATCACGTTTTTTGCCGGACATTAGTTTGACGCGCCGACATTGACCCTTGACCCCGTCAATGCAAAAGGTCGCGCTGACCTCTTAACTCTTGTGAACTCTGCGAGTGCCAACATTTGCCCCCAAGTTGAGGAGAGAAAAAAGGAAGAATATATGTGTGTGTGTGTGTGTGTGTGTATGTGTGTGTGTGTGTGTGTGTGTGTGCTGTCAGTTTAACGCGTTATTATTGGCATTAATTTAAAACAATTTTAATTCGATAATTTTTTTTTTTTTTTGCGAGATTAATGCGGCATCACGTCACAGCGGATATTACGTTGCTCTAAAACAATAAAATGTGCTCCAAGTTTGAATAACTGCTCCAAGTGAAAAATGTTCATGGAAAATTGAAAATCGAAATTGTTTTTTCAGTAAATATTTGCATTTTGCACAAAGAAAACTGATCCACGGTTCCATGTTGATGAGAGCATTAAAATGGGAAAAATAGGACAAAAAGAAATCAGAGGAAATTTAGAATCGATAAAAATCTGTGATTAATTACGGCTAATTCTGAGTTAACTATGAAATTATCCATTTGATCACGATGAAATATTTTAATCATTTGACAGCACACACACACACACACATATATATATATCTCGTTTGTGGCAGTCGACGGCGGATGACACACACACACACATATATATATATATATATACATCGTTTGTGGCAGTCGACGGCGGATACGGCGTCTCCGTGTGAAAGGCAAAATGCCGATTGGTCGGGTTCCGTGCCAAAGTGCTCACGCCTCGAACTTCTGCTGCGATTTTTAGGTTGCCGCAGTATTTCTCCAAACGCTCGCGAGAAAGAAAACCATGAGAGAGCATTGTTTCATCTGCCAAGGTGTTTCATTTTGTTGTTGTTGTTGTTGTTGCTTTTGGGTGGGGGTGGCGCAACAAAATTGCAAAGGACCCCCTGCCCCCCCCCCCGCAAAAGAAATGAAGTGCATTCAAATAGGAGAACTATGTTGGCAGGCGTCCAATCAACTCAAAGTGGTGTTTGGTTTGGTCGTGAGCGCCGCATGTGCGCTCACGTTAGTGCTCTCACGGCTGGGGGGTGGAGGGGGGGCGTTGGTCGTAAGTGGGCTGCGACAGCTTGCTGCTCTTCAGACACATTGTTGCTGCTAAATGAAGCACCCCCAACCGCCCCGACCCGCTTTGCGCTGACACCTCATCGTTGGTGCACCTGATGCGGGAAACAAGCAGGGAAGCGTGACAGGGGGGAAAGAGCCACATCAATACGTGTAGCCATGAATCTGATCCAGATCCCCATTTTGGGGGAGGCTGGTGGGGGGGGGGGGGTTAAGAAACCCTACCGAGCAACAGATTCACCGTTTTGCTCACGTGTTCGCATTGAATTCAATGCACATCGTGGTGCTCATTTTGTCACGTGCGCCTTGCTACCACTTGGTGGCAGCACAGAGGGCCGAATCCGAATTTTGCTTGACACTTGAACGTCATCCCACTTTCGGCCCTTCCCTGACCAAGGACGTCAAACGCACGACCTCTTAAGGCTGTTGCCACGGTGACAGGTCCCAACCAAACGTGAACGAGCGCTACCCGGCTCGATAGGACGTGCGGTCACGCAACCACGAGGAAATACGGTCGGACGACGTGTGCGCTACGTAGCCCTCGAATTTGACAGTGTTACGTTGTATTTTGCTCATGTTCTGGCCGTTCCGGTGCCTCCGCTTTACCCCCTCCAATCAAACCCAATCAAATGATGATGACGTGGCCACTCGGGACGACAGGAGAGAAACGGGAGACATGAAAAATCGGTTCGACTCACAATTTGCAGCGCAAAAGAAAAAAAAAAAAATACGTTTTTGATTGGTAGCCGACGCATCCCGTCCGAAATGAGAGAGTAAGAAACGCGTTTTCTCTCAACCTCCTTGTGCGTCACTAAGACGTGTCTCAAAACTGAGCCCCGACCAAGTCAAGAGGGCCGTCGCTCGTTGCAAAGAGCCTCGCCAAAAAAAAAAAAAATAAAATCTCTCACCCGTTTTTTTTTTTTTGTCTCTGCGGCCTTTCGCTTCTTCCGAGGCATTGATTGAGCATCGATGTTTGGGATCGGAAGAAATTGATGGTCGCATCTGCGACATTTCAATTGAACGGGCGTCAATGGAGGGACGTCGCATTCGAACGCCTCAATTGCCCGTCGTAAATTCCCGCGGATGCAAATGAACGGAAGACGAGGGCGTACCTGTTGCCGTGCACGTGCGAGGCGCAGAAGGCGTAGCTGTAGTGAAGCAGCGTGGGGTCCACCAGCGTGTTGTCCTCCGAGAAGTCCATCAGGTCCTTCAAGTAGCTCAGGTGACGATGGCAGCCGCGAACGCCGTAGCGGGCGCAGTACTCGTCCAGGACGAACACCTGACCCGGGCTGAACCAACCCTGTGACAAAAACCGCACGCGCACGCCGGAACGCTCGTCAGTTGACATTTCTTTGGCGGATCGGGAGCGGGCTCGCGCTCGGCGGGCAGACTTTCATGTGGACGCTTGAGGCAACTTTATGGCTTTCGAATCCGTCTGCATTGATTCCGAGGATGGCGCATGCGGAAAAATGCTGAGGAGATGCCGTTCGCCGGCAGACACTTGACGCAAAGCGTTCATCAGACACACGGACGCCAGGGATGGAACGCGTTTCAGAAAGCGGTGGCGATTGAGAAGCCGTCACAACGCCGCCATTGGACGGGGCAGCCATCTTGTCACCTCTGCATCCCGCGTTCTAGATGCATAATTTTCCAGCAGGACGCACAGTTCCAAATAATGAGCGTTTTTGGGACGCAAGGAAATTTCTTCGTCAAAAGCAAAAAAAAAAAAAAAAACTACGGTAAATCTTTTTTTCCAGCAACGATCGCAGTTTGACAATCGCCGCCGTTGTTGTTTTGATCTCGCGTTAAGTCATCTCGCATGACGAGATTTCCGTTCTCGCGAGACGAGATTGGCGAGAGCGGCCTTCACCGCGCGGAAAGCAGACGATTGCCAAGTCGTATAACGTTCAAACAAGTGCTGCAAAAAAGCGTTGCGAAAGTTCATTGCGGAGATATCGCAGAGGAAGCAGCTAAAGTTGGATCGTTTTTTTGCCATAATAATCTTGGATGCCTGAATTATTTCAATTTTTGCAGCATTCGTTTATCAGAAATAAACCTATTCGCAATGTATATTGTTGCTGTTTGCATTCTTATCATATGCAATTGAATAAGTCGACCATTTCAGAATTCAAAATCTGGGACTCTCTAAACGCATCACGGGACTCAGACTTTTCTGATCAGCGAGTCCCGTCATTGCCGCTCGCAATAAAACGTGTGCTTGGAAGACATTTCTGAGCAGATGTTTGCAATTTCCAGGTGGGGCGGCGCGCCGAGTTTCGAAATATCGCTCGTTCCGCTTCAAACCCAGTTTGGTGAAGAAAATAGAACCCATGATTACTTTTCAAAAACCTGCCCGAGAGGGACGAGAATACGGATGCGCAAGGTGGTGAAAGCGGCATTTGGGGAGACTGGCAGGAAAAGTCCCGGCTCGACGTTTTTCCACCACCCTCCCGGCGGCCGTGTAGCTCCGCCCCTGTTGACGAGCAAAGAAGGTCAAAACAAGCTTCCGTTTTGTGCCGCGAGCAAACCGCCGACTTTTTTCGTCTGCCGCGGTTATTCTATCGTTAAGGATCAATTGTGGCAAAAGGACTCCCGGCGTAGGTGAGACCGACAGGTCCACCACCCAACTGGCACCGAGGCCGGCAACTCCTTCGGGGCTTTCGTTTTGACGGCGTGAGAGGCGGACAGATGGCGCCGAGCAATAAGACGACCACGGGAGCATTCTTACGCTCGCACGTGTTCGCCATTGTCGCGCTTTCGCGGCCAAGCGTGTCCCGATCCAAAGACTCTGGCGGAGGTTCACCCGCCGCTGAATACAACGGCCGCCCGAGCCCCCCCCCCGGCGCCGATCCTGGCCACTTGTTAACAGCTGGCCGCCGCCGCCTTTCGCCTCTCCTGCCCCGTCCCCTCGCCGACGGTTCCCGGAGCACAAAACCCCCCACAAAAGGGCCCCAGAGAAAGGAAGGAGGAGAAAAGGCGCCGACAATTGCGGCCAGGTAGACGCCAGAGAAGAGCAGATGTCACTTGAAGGAAGGAAGAAAAGTGTCCATCAAGAAAAGTGTCCCCCCTCCCCCCCACCTCCACCCCCAGTCTTGCAAATGCTCAATCTCACCCCAAACCGGTTCCCCTTCCGCTCATAAGACTCGCACCCGACTCGAAAGCGCACGTGGCGGCGGTCACCCCCTTCGTCCACCTGCACTTGGTGACGGCGAAAAGCAGACTTTACACTCGGAAAAAACCGGAAGCGTTGCCGGCGTCGCCACACGAGAACCGCGTCGGCTTTGCGAAGACGAGTATCGGATGCGGTGGAGAAGTCCGAGTGCCGTTTTCGTGGACAAACGGCGGCGGCAAGACATCACGACAGCAAATAGCGTCCATTGTTGGGTGAAACGTAAACAGCCACAAAGTATTCAAGCTTATCGGAATTTTTTTGGAACGGCTTTTTTCGGGGAGCGAAGGGAAGGTGAAAGAAAAAAAAAAAAACGAAACAAAAATCCTCCTACACGGGCAATACAGGCGGATTTTTGTTTGCGCAACGTGCCACGTTGACAACAAGTATTCAAGCCTTCTGCCGTCACGTCGGCTGAAAACGTCAAAGTCGTTGATTTTTATCCCCGAGCGGCGCAGTGGCGGCCGTCGTCCTTTTCAGCGCGTAAATATTCAAGTACGACAGGTGCTTCAATTCCGACACTCGAAGCTGGAGTGAGCGCAATTTATTTCCTCGGCTCCGCTTGCCTGCCAAAAGGTCACCAAGTGCTTCACGGGCGCACAAAAGCGAGCGAGGTCAGCGCCAGAAAAAAAACGCACAAATAAGCAGCGGTAAATACAAAGAACGCAATAACACCTCAAGGACGCTGCGGGAGGAGAGAAGAAGAAGAAGAAGATGGAAAAAAAAAACATCACAACCTTTTAAAAGACACTCAAACAAGCTTGAAGACGACTTTTTTTTTTTTTTTTTTTTTGTAGTGACAGTTAGCTGTGGAAATTCCCTCCTGGGTCGCAAGAAAGCATTTCTCGTCTTTGACAGGAACTAAGAAGAGATGGAGACGAAATTGACAAACTGGATTCGGCTTGATCGAGTTTGCACCGGCCCAAAAAGGAACGCGACCAACGCACAGAAACGTCCGAGCGGCGACTCGAGCCGAGAGGTGCGAAAAGGAAGGAATTAACGAAGGCTGCAGTGACAACCCAAACGGTCAGCTAGGTCAGAATTTTTCCTCCTCACCCCCCAAAAGATCATTGTCGGGACGGCGGAGACGATCGCGACCCCCAATAGTATCGTCATAGTCTTCTCTTAAGTATCTATCTATTAGGCTGCCCCCTGGTGGCCAAGACGCGCATAGCAGAAGGAGCAGCACAATAACCATTTGACGGTCATTTTGGACATTCGATTCAGTTTTGCTGTTCATGTCATTTTAGTGGCCCGCTTTTGGCTGATTTTTGGCTGCTCAAAATCCGATAATGCCGTTCGTTCGTATCATATTTGCGACATGCATATTTACAAAGTAACTCGTTCTTTATATGACCATTAAATTGTCTCAAACAGATTTCATACAGCAGGTTTCAAATATGATTTTACCCCAAATTGTCATTTCACATGTAATCTACATCATGCTGACTAAAATGTGATACAAAAAACATCTCATAAACAACATAAAACAAAAATATTTTTGTGGATTTTGTTTGTCTCAGTTCCCCCAAATCAGAATTTTCTGGCTATTTTATATTATTCGAGGCGCCGCCGCAAAAGTGTTTTTTGTTGTTGGAAGTCTCAAGTGAGCAAAAAAAAAAAAAAAAATGTTTTGATTAATCCCTCAACGGAATTGGTCAGGCTCTAATTATTGTTATTATTCTCCACCTTGAACACTGCCCCGCCCCCCACATAAAATAATAGTCCACACTGAACGTGTTGAAATGTAAAAGCCATCAAATGACAAACCACAAGCGGCGGCCGCAGGAAGCGCCTTCCTTTTTCCCCCGACCGTGTTTGAAAATATTTAGCCCGTGACAATCTTTAAATCCACAGGAGTCCCCACTTTGACTCGATTACGGTCTCCGCGCTCGCACCCTCCCCCGCCGCCGGCCAATCAGGCGGCGGCGCCGGCCTAATGCTCGCCTCGCATGCGTGCGCACGTTCGGCGCGCGTTCCACCCGTCGTTCGCCAATTAGAGAAAACGGCGACGGCGGGCAGCGGCCGCGGCGCCCGGCAGGCCGGATGGGAAATGAGGCGCGGCCGCAAGGTGGATGTGGACTTCAAATGCATTCCATCAAACGCCTGCCTTGTGTTTTCGAATCAAGAAAGAAAAAAAAAAAATCGCATTGAACTGTGCAAAAACAATCGACAAATCGAAAAAAAAAAAAAAAAAACGGTTTTAGAGTTACGGTTTGTACTGTGGTAAGCAGGCGTGCCTTTGAGGGGCGGGTCCAGGCGGGTTTTCTCCATTTGTATTTTTATCATGAGCAAGAATCACATTTGTTGGTGTGTTCAGTTAACTTTGGTCCTCAAGGGGGCCCCTCCTCCAGCCTCTTCCAACACAGCTGATCGATTTGATTAATTTGGGAAGTTCATTACAAATCAATTCATAATACTGCAATTAAAGAACCTTTTTTATTGACTTCAATCAATTTGTTATATTTTACATACTTTTTTTAGCACAGAGCTGAATGAGCTGGACCATCTGTCGCCTTTTTTTTTTTTTTTAACCAACATGACCCTCAGAAAGGACCAGCTTGTAGTATGTCACGATGATGTCACCGTGGAGGTCAACTTCCTGTTAGGAGGCGCGGCGTCTGCTCGACGGCTCTGCTACCTCCCGCTATTTTTGCGTTTTTTTTTTTCCTCGGCGACAGGGTCGCTTTGCTTCCCGCAAAAGAG